TTCTTGGAATTAGATCAAATATTTTAAATTTAAAGACAAAATACCAGTATTCATCATTTTGTACTTTTATTTTATTAGTTCCCCAACATTTTAAAGTTAGAAGTATAGTTGTGCTCACTGAAATATATTACTAAAATGACTTTTTGAAATTCATTCACATTCCTGACATTGTTGTTGAGCAAAGTACTCAAGTAGACCTCTATAATATATTACTGTAAACAAAAGGGTCTGTGTACGTAATTCCGTCCCCGGCTTAAACCAATCATTACATTATTATTTTGTAAATCGCTTCATTTATGTTTTCTCAAATAAACGATGACATGATTGTATGAATTATAAGCCTAATGAATTTTCAACATACCTGTTTATAAAGACAGAGCGCAGTTTACGTAGAATAGAATATTTTCGTAAGGGCATGTGGATTGGCGCAAATTGACCTGCCTTACGATGTCGACGTGCCATAAAACAACATTCATTCATATATTAATTCTAGTTTCCGGTGCCCAAATTGGAGGGTGGGGGTGTATAATGCAATTTGGTACATGTACAATATTTATGTCAATATATGGTGCATGGGGGGTAGCGCTCTTTGGAGTCTTTCGTTCGCATTGGTAAACCCATTGAAAAGTGTGTTTTCTCAAACATAATTTTTTTTTTTGCTCAAATATTAAATTGTATGCACATTGGAAATGAAATCAGGTGTGATTTAATACCAAATTTATATAAATTGTCACAGTAATAAGTGAGAATAAGAATATTGAAGTGAGCTGTTTAATGATTATTTACACGGGTGCTCTTATTTTCGTTGCGTGCTAATCGAGACTACGTTTTCTTTTAGGAAGACTGTCATGGCGTCGCTAATGCCTCACTTTCTCAATGTCTCTACTAAGCCAATCAGCCATCCAGTTATTTATAGAGATCAGTGTTACTAATGTTGTTGCTTTTCTGCGTAGACTGTCATGGCGGCTGTAATGCCTCACTTTACTTGGGCCAATCAGCCATCCAGTTATTTATAGAGATCAGTGCCTACACTACATGAAGATCTAACAAGTTATAGCCAGAGGTCACGTCAGGGGGTCAAAAGACCGACTTATGACATATGACGTCAGAAATTTGATTAACCAATAAGCATTAATGTTACTAGTGGATTACTCACAGATCCGTGCAAAACACGCCTAAAGCTCGCCGTAACAGACCGTTTCATTGGCTTATCCCTGACACCATTCAGAACACGAGTTAAATCAATTTGTTTTACAGACCTAATGCGACATCCGTCTTTTATCGCTGTCCAAGATGACTGACCTTTAAAAGGTCAGACCGCTGTAGTTCTAAGGGTGACGTCACATCACAATTTTTACCAACAAAGCAAGATGGCATCGATAACGCCAAAAAAGATTACTTCTGTGGCTTGTTTTGGTTGTTTTAAAACAAACACGAGCAGGTCAATCAGATTAGACGGTAAAAATGTACTTCTGAAAGAATTCAGAGTAAACAAACAGAAAAAAACGTCAAATTGATGGTCACACGTGCGTTGTTTACATTGAACGTACTATTTTCTGTACCTATTTACGCTAAATATGGAATATTTTTTATCAAGATATACTTCAAACAGCTTTATTTATTTCTCTAATACTAAAAAAAAATGTTTCAGAATTTAATTTGTCGAAAGAAAAAAGTTAATATTTTGTAGTCATTAAGTCGCATCGATGTCATCCTTATCAGTGATTGTAGCGGCCAAGCGAATATTCACTGCGGATCAGTGTGGAGTTAAATAACAACTTTTTCAGATCCAAGATTAGTAAAAACAAGTAAAACGAAATTTTGAACTATAAAAACGAAACGAAATAGGATCTGTGTTTTCACCAGATTGCTATTCACCCCACTAGGTATCCACATCCAGACAAGTCACCCGGTTTCTTCTACTTACGATCTTCTACAATGCAACAGTGTTTATTTTTATTAATTTATACCGACATTACTCTGCATTCCTCCGGGCCCTTTTAGGCCCCAGGAGCTGGCCCCAAGGTCACAAAGCATTCTCTGACTTAAATTAAGAATTTACTCAAAATTGTTGCCTTATTTAACTAAAATGTAGCCCTTTATAAAACTTTTGTTATTTTAATGTATCAAATACATCAATAAGAAACTATGTGCAAGGTTTTGTGTTTCTGGATTAAATAAATTTCTCATAAACAGTGATTGAAAGTTGAGGAAATTCCCACAAGAAATAAATTATTTACAGACATATAAATACATTGTTTATAATTATAATCATGATTTACTAAAAAAAAACAACAATAGTATAACAATGGCATTAAATCCCACGTATTCCTTTAAATACAGTAGGCCTAAGTCGTGAGCGGGGCGTTGTCTCGTGTTCTAATATAGCTTTATTTAACGTTCGCATCTACCGAGGCGATATTGCAGACAATGGTATCTTAGTGATTAACGTCCTCTTCCACCGAAGGTGATATCGCAGACAAATCTTATTTTTCATTTTTATTATCTTAGCGCACGCGCAGGGGTCTTTCCTGTGGGGGGAAACTGGAGTAAACCCACGAGGTTGAGAAGGCCCCCTATATCCAAGCCACATACACTCAAACAAGAGGTGGCCAGCCAGCTAGAGGTAAAAGCTAGGCACTCTAGACCACTAAGCCATCCCGTCCCCCCCACCCCCGTTATCTCGTTAATTCGGAATTCTAATTATAGGCCGGTTGGGGAGGATTGGGAATTCCGGAGTCCACAATGGCCGATTTATATAAATGAGTATTTTGGGGAATACTAACCCTAACCCTTTAAAGTAGGGGCAAAGGGTAAATTGGATTCAAGTTCAGTCTTCTAAAAGGGTTAGGGTTATGATTACAGTTAGTATTCCCCAAAATATAGGCTAAATATAAAGCGGCCACTGTGAACTCCGGAAATTCCCGACCTCCCCAACCCGCGTACAATTAGCATCTCCCAATAACTTTAACGAGACAAGATCAAGCGGTTTCGAACGCATTAGTGCTAAATGATAAGGCCAGCTCAATTTATCGTCATAGGTGACAAGATGTAAATGGGGCTAGCGCTAATACTATTACCCCCCTCACGCTGGACCTATGACCAATTTTTACCTTAACCCTAGCCTACAATCTCGCCAACAATCACGTGTCCTAACCTTATTTATTTCAAAAACGACCTTGACAAATTTGTTAAGGCCAGCTCAATTTTTGTAAAGGTCTCCGAGATGTAAATAAGGTTAGGGCACGTGATTGTTGGTGATATGGTAGGTTGGGGTTAGGGTAAGCATTGGGCCTAATTCCAGGGTTAGGGTTATGGTTGGGATTAGCGCTTCCTGTTTACATCTCGTGACCTATGACGAAAAACTGAGCTGGCCTTAACATTTAGCACTAACTGAGTTGGCCTTAACATTTAGCACTAACCGTCACGAACTGATGAGGAAGTACCGTGTGGTCTATATCCAGAAACTTCGATTTTAAATGAGAGTTGCCTCCCTCTGATCAATGGGATTGCTTCGACTCGATTGCTTCAATAATTTGCGTCTGGATATCTGCGGCACAGAACCAGGAAATGGTAACTTTCGGTTTGTTTTTTTAGGGGAGAATCTCCAGAAGGGAAAAACCAGTATGAAGCATGCACGTTGTTGGTATTATATTTAATTTACCGATCATTCCATCAGTGTATATATAGAATAAGTAGTAATTCGCGTGGGTACAGACGGTACGACTTGCGTAATCCTAAATTCAGTTTCGGTTATCCTCTTTGACTGACTCACCGAGTTCGGTGAACTAAACGTGAACATGACTCCAAGTCTCTTGTAGGGCTCTAGTAGGTGGAATCATTTCACTTAGTTAGCACTGAACAATTTTTATTTTGAAAAGAAGATGCTGTCGTACTCTTAATTATAGAGAGCTGAGACTGAATGTCTTCTTCCACTGACCCGGAGTGAGTAGGCCAAATGATCAGTTTTATTGTTGAATGTTTTCAAAGATGGGAACTGTCTGTGTCAGCACAATGTTGAAATTTCGAAACCAACAGATTACCCTGGCGCTAGTTCAGATCTGAACGTAGGTCTTATTACACTCTCCCTTTACGTTCAGGAACCGGCCTATTGACTCCTTGGCGAAAAGTTTTCAGTTCCCAGAAAGTTTCACTGGACAACTTTTTACTGCTAAATGGACGCATGACAGCCACTGTCTAATGTAAAGGAACATTTTAGCGAGAAAATAAGACCTTGCTTAACTCGCTAGAGTCAGTAATTCTGGATTATGGCCCCTGATTGTTCGAAAAATCGCGTGTTTAGCTTGTAGACCCTCTAGAAGTCACAATTTGTATTCAGTTTTAAAAACTGTTTAAATATATCACTGTTACACAGTGTTTGTGATTCTCCTAAAACCGCAAATAGCGAACGCCAAATAAATAGGGATAATGTGACTTGATGATTGGGATTCCTTTATTTCCCGCGTATTCTTTTATTCTGCTATTAAAAAAAATTAGAACTACCGCGAAATTTACAACGAAACGAAGAAAAGCCATGTGCTGATAAATGCCATTGAAAGACATGTCTTCTATTCACTTAATTCATTAAATATTCGCTTATATGTGTTAATAATTCTACGGTGATGACATAATAATTATTATTTACCGGGTTTTCGACCCTTAGATTTCAGGATAATTTAATCTCTGGGTTTTCTCCTAACTTAAAATATGAACATTGGGCAGATTCGACTGAATTGTTGCCTACTTTGTTAGGTAAAATGTCTGACTAAACTGTATAGTCAAATGAAAAAAGGAAACATTGCCAATTAGTTAGATTTATTAAATGACACTTTGGCTATAAGCCACCGATTGGCAATGTTTCCTTTACTTTTTTTCATGGTTAGCACGTGCGCGCTGTATCATGAGGTCTGTCATTGAGCCAACTGGCGTGGTTTCGATTCCCCGGTTGTACGTGACAAGGAGTCCGAGTAGGGTCGCATGTTCAGGAGAAAGAGAGAGAGAGGATTTAACGTTCACTCAACACGCACTAGGTCATTTTGGCACTAACATATGGTTCTATTTTATTTCTATAATTCGCTTACGATAAGGGGGTCTTTAACACTGGCAGGAAACTGGAGGACCTGGAGAAAACCCACGAGGTTGGACAGGTGACCCTACTCCTTGTCACGTACAACCCAGGAATCGAAACCACGACACATGCTAACCATTCAGCCATCTATCTACCCGGATTTAAATAAAATGGCTTCCTGTCAGTGGATTAATTATAATGGAATAGAATATCAAATGGTAATTTTCAAGCACATTATTTTTTCAGGATATTGTATGTTGATGGTATATTGATGGCATATTGATTGACAAATCTATGGGTAATGATCAAAGTAAAAAGGATACTTCAGATGAAATAGCTATGAACAACTCAGATTCTCTTAGTAGAGGTATGTATTGTATTTATGGGGAGGGGTCTGGGCCTCGGGCATCTTCAATAGAAGGCTTGATCTGGCTTTAACTACATACATCTTATCAAGGCCTTCACGTAATACCCTGCATATCGCGGCACTAATTTTGATTGGGTACATGCCCAACTTGTGAGCCTATCAGATTCCTTGATCGTCACGAATACCAAGTCACACGCTTTCAAGCTAAAATGTCTACCTGTGATAATCGAGTTGCAAAGTTCAAGGTTCATTCAATGTCAAGGTTTCTGTGGAGATCGCGATGTCACAACCTCTGATTGGACGCTACTGCTCACGTGTCTGTAAATAACATAGCTATAAGTTCGGGAATTGTGAAGTAAACAAGCAATGGCCAGATGTTGTGAAACTTGCAGTCGTTGCTTCAGGAACATGGGCCTCGGGCGGCCTCGTCATACCAAACTTAGGCTGTCTGTCTACAGTTAGCTTCGCTTGAGAACAGACACTAAATCGACCATTTTAGTCAAAAACACTAAGTATACTTCGAGAATTTTGTTAAGTATTTATTCTGCTTCCATTTAATAGAATTGGAAGAGCTTCGAGAATTTTGTTAAGTATTTATTCTGCTTCCATTTAATAGAATTGGAAGAGTGTATTTAGTCTTTGTGTGTATGACAGATGTGAAACGGAGTAGAACTGCATTACAAAACAGTATACAAATTTTTGGATATGGCGGCCATTTAGGACAGAGATCTATTCTCGAAGTATGAAGTAGAAGGATCTCATGTCTTTCAGGAGTTTGTCGTGTATGTTTCTGTTTGGTTGCCGAATGTTGGCAGATTTACAAATGTACAATTCATCATGAATTTTTGAATACTGAATGCAATTAATCCATTTCTGTATTGATGTTCCTTTTCGTTTGCAAACAAGTAAAAATCCCTCTAGTGATGCTCAGAGACTTCAACAAGATGTCACAAATGTGTCTGTTAATATTCAATATTAAACATACTTTATGCAAGAGCTAAATCTACCTATTGTAGGTCTTTCTTTAGGATTGAAATGTTGTATAAATTATTAATTAGACGTTTATTAACATGACAAGACCATAAAATTAATCAACTCTCGATGTCATCGCTAGCTTGCGATATTTAGTGGATTTGAATATATTTTGTGATGGATGATTAAACGTAAAAATGGATAATCAAGACTTTGGTTTTTATCGTACCGAGCAATGGAGCAATTTGACTGAAATTTTCAGCATATTCTATTTACGTTATCTTTTATAGAGAGAACTGTCAACCCTTTATCCAATATCCCATAATGCCCCTTTAATTAGACCTTTATTAACTTAACAAGACTATAATCAACTTATGATGCCATCGGATGCCTGTGATATTTAGTGAATTCAATTACGTTTTGTGCTGGATGCGGTTACCGTAAAAATGGATAATGGAGACTTTTTTATTTTCGTAGCAACTGTAGTAATGACAATCAAGGCTACAATTGTATCTCTAATATCTAGACTCACAGTAAAGTAATTTGACTTAAATTTTCAACATATTCTCTTTTCATTATGTATATTTTAACTATTATAGCGAGAACTGTCAGCTCTTTGTCTAAAACTTACTTAATGCCGTTTTATCCAGGGACAAAAAAAATATTTATTTTTGGGATGGATTTAAAAACCGGATAACTTTCGCTTAAGGATACAGATCTGGCAGTTCTCACTATAATATACTCTTCAAAAAAAGTAGGGGATATTCAGAAACAATACAACACTGCAGAAATGCACTGCTGTTTTTATTAGAGGTAACTAGTGTATGTTAATAACAGGCCAATTGCCTACACATGAACATAAACAGTTCATATGGGCGACTTTCACTTGCAAAGAGATACACTGTCAAAAGAGAAAATGGACGTTTTTGATTTTTGTCTTAATAATGAATAATTGCTCCACCAATCCTCAGACATTCAGCAATTCGTCGTGCCATGCTCCTAATCAACCATCCAATCACGATTTGGGGCAATCTGACCCACACCTCTTGCAGTGCCATGGCCAATTCTTACAGTGTTGATGTTGACGTCGACGAACACGTCTCCCAATCAAATTAAACGTAACACACTAAAAAACAGTAAATCTTATGCAAGAACTGATAGGAAAGCAAACATGGGTATGGTAAACCAGAAAGAGGCAGTTTTCATCAACCCTTCCTTGAAGTGTCAAATTTGACAATGAACCCCTCCCACGTGTATGGCGCTATTGCGTGTCGCACATGCAGCTCAGTTCTTCATCTGTGAACATACTCTCAAATCATGTCAAGTGTCCATGACTATTTATCATATCACAACCTGCATATGTATTTGCATTTCAATATCCCCTACTTTTTTTGAAGCCTATAGTTAAAAACTAGATGATGTAAAGGGAATATGCTGAAAATTTTAGTCAAATTGCTTTACTCGAAGCCAGAAAAACCTTATTTTAAAATCATTGTAGCCTTGATTGTCATTGTAAGCGCTGTCACAATAATTAACAAAGTCTCCATTATCCATTATTGTGCTTAATCATCAACAGATGTTGAGCAGCAGATTGGATTCAAATCCAATGAAAATCAGACACATAAGATGGCATCGAGAGTTGATTATGATCATGTGTAATTAATAGTTTATACAACATTTCAGGCCTAAAGAACGACCTGCAATAGGTAGATTTTGCATAATGCATGTTCAGGGCTGCCGACAACCAGTATCGCAGCGCAATTTGCGATACATATTTTGTCCGTTGCTAATCAAAAATTAAAATCTAACGTTTTTGATTCGCAGTAACTGCGAATCATTAATATGCCTGTCATTTTGGATATTGACACAAAGATTTATCCACATTTCTCAACACTTTCAACGTGTATAAAATATCAAATAAATTTTATAAACAAAACGGAATTCTCCGTGTGACATTTTCTTCTCGAACTATCCAGACTCAAGTCATGATACTATATAATACAGGGACATAACTCTATGAATCGGGACTATTAAACCGGAAATAGGGAATCAAGTAGTGCCACTCGCGTTGCGAGACATGTCAATTTCGAGTAATTATATCAGTATTCAATTTGAAAAAAAAAAAATTCAGTGTATCCCCCACGTATTGTAAATAAAATATAAAAAAACAAATACGTGTAAACGTATTGTAAAGTGAGAAATCAAAGTAAGAATTCCCGTAAACTATTATTGTTTATATCGCGTGCGTCTAGTTAATCGAGATTATTCGTAAAATACCGCGTGCTTCCGGTTGAACAAAAATAATAACACACGATAAAAAACAGATGAAATTGTTTTCTAACGAAGAAATAAGAAGCCACTGCCAAGAATTGGCTTCAGACATAAGGCCTAACAAAAGTCTACATTCATTCAGAAATGTTCACAGCTAGCTGTAGAAGTGCTAAAATTCTAAAAAAATCTTAAGAATGAAATCTAATCATTTGCTATCAATTAAAATTAAAATAATCTTGTTATTTAGGTGTTTTATGTTGATTTGAAACTGAAAAACTGCTAATCAATTTTTAAATTTGCTAATCAAATTTGGCAAAATTGGACTTTTTGATTAGCAGTGCTGCTAATCATCTGTGAAAAATTACCGACAGCCCTGTGCATGTTTGATCCTTTGAAACTAAAACTTAATTGCATAGAACCTGTCACACTGATCCGCAGTGAATATTTGCTTGGCCGCGACAATCACTGATAAGGATGACATTGATGCGGCTTAATGAGCTAGAAATATTAACTTTTTTCCTGCGACAAATTATATTCTAAAACATTTTTTGTATATATTGGAAAAATAAAAAAAGGCGTTTGACGTATTTGTAGGTAAAAATTATTTCCGATTTAGTGTAAATGGGTATTAAAATGACTAAAATGCAGCATTCTCTCCGAAGCAGTTATGTCTTATGTAAACAATGCACGCGCCATTCAGCCAATGATTCACACCGCGTGCTGTGACAGCACGTGTTAAGGCAGTCATCTATGACAGAGATATTATACGAGACTCGTAATTCTCTGTGAAACAGCTTGAGAACCTGTCACTATTCAATACTTTATTTTGATCAAAGAGAGTTAGTTTCCCTAATGATGACGTTTAGGAATCTGATTTAAACACAGATCCTATTTCGTCGCGTTTTTTATCGTTCAAAATTTCGTTTTACTTATCTGTACTACACTAGGATCTGGAAGAGTTGTTATATAACCCGCGCTCTGGTTGATATGAGGGATTAGCCAATGAAACGGTCGCTGTAACACTAGGATCTGGAAGAGTTCTATATGACGTGAGGGATTAAGAAATGAAACCATCTGTTATTGCGACTTCTTGGCACACTATGCACGGAACTGTGGGTAAACCACTAGAAACGTCAATGCTGATTGATTGATTAATCAATGCCTGACGTCATAGGGTCAATAGCCGCTCATACGACCTCTGACATGACCTTCTACTACAACTACTCTAGGCCATCGAAAGTATATAAAAACGAAACGAAATATAGATCTATATTTTAATCAGATTGGATGTTTATAAGCCCACAAGTGGTCGTATTTTGTAATCACCCGTTTCGTCCATCGGTCCGTCCACCCACCCTTTCTTGTCAGCGGTCTAGCGGCAACAATTTTTATCAAATTTTTCTGACATATGCAAGAAAATTGTAGGAGGACAAGATGAGGATCACTATTTCTTTTCTTCAAAATGGGATTGATATTTGTAGTAAGAGTTATGCCCCTTTTCCGTTTAGCTGAAATCTGTTCACACTGCTATTAATGCTTGTTAGAACAATAGAGATCATAATTTTGATCATATATGTCCGAAACTTTCCGGAGACTTATCTTATGATCAGACAAGAACTCCCTATTTCTTTTCGTCAAACCTTTCCGAAAAGCCTTGTGGATGGGATAGATCCAACATTTTTGTTTGCGCCCACATTTTCATGTTGGCGTATATTGTTGTCACTGTTGTCCATCAACTTTTGGACTCTCTACCAGTCACAATTTTTATCCGATTATGATGAAACTTGAAATATAGGTTTATCTCCAAATTTGGTCTGAAGCATCGAGGTCAGAGAGATCTGTTACAAAATTCAGTGTTGCGTGCCCTTCTTTTCCAGAGTTATACCCCTTTTCCAAATAGCTTGTGAATGTGACAGAGGCTACCATCTTTTTTTCAAGACATAATTACTGTGTGGGTATATTCCACACTTAGTCTGGCTATCTTTGAAACTGTAAAACTGTTTTATTGTCTTTTACAGATTTGTCTGTAGATGCAGTGCCATTTATTCCTGGAAGTACTTCAGACAAATCATGTGATAGTCTACCAGATTTTGAAATAGTTAAACAGGTTCAGAAAGCAGCGTCACAGGCTTTGTCTTCCATTGAAAAACAAACCGACAGTGGCATTAAAAATGAAATTGACTTCAAAATAAAAAAATACATAGAGTTAGGACTCATGCCGCTGGAATTAAAATACGGATATAAAGATGCTGTGATATTATGCAGTGATAACGATTTGTCTGAGGTCGAACAATTCCGAAGCAGTCTTGAAAGTAAAATGTTACTGCTTGGAAGAGAGAAACCGAAAATAGCACTTTTTTCCGAGATAGAGATAACCCATAGCAATCAGTTCCGAGCGTTAGAATTTGCTCTGGATCGATGTACATTTGTTTTCCTTTTTATAACTTCGAGTTTTGTAACCGATGCATGGGTTGAATATTCTAGCGAGGCATGCCTAATGGACTCCATTAGTAATCCTAAGAAACGCTGGTCCGTGGTTCCTGTTTTCACCGATAAGCGCGAAAAGTCTGGTTATAAAATACCAATAAGTATTAATACATTAAAAGGTGTGACATATTGGTCAGGCGATGATTTTTATGTAGAATCTATTAGAAAGCTGTTTGAGGATCGAATATCCGTGAGAAAGGAAAGAGAACGTGAGGAAGGGACGATGCAGAGAGCGTGGTTATTTCAGTATGAAAAGGATATGCACGAGAAAGAGATCAGAGAAAAACAGGAGCAGTTGAAGGATAGAGCAAGATTAGAAGAGCTAAAGCAACAGAAAGCTACCTTAGATCATAGTTTGTCCATGCCAGTTATTGCTCCTCCAGTACCAGAAAGTGCTCCTCATACGACGCAACATTCAAAAAGTTTTGCGGGTCCCAATCCAACTGATGAAATGATTTTAGATTACATTAGAAACAATCCCAATTTATATAAATCGTTTGCACAAGGTTCCAAGGTCAGTGCTCATGCACAATCTACGTGTGTTAGAACTGCAGCAGAACATACAGAACCAGCTGTGGACAATTTAGAAGATCTATCATTAAAACAAAAGTCCACACTTGTTTGTAATCCGACTTCTTCAAAAGATGACAAACGTCCTGTTGAATCGGCAAGTGATTTTTCGTCATCTGTTGACTATGAAAGTTTTGCCGCCGCTGAAGAAAAGGATGAGAACGCAAATGATGAACTAACCGAGGATTGTCCAGTAACATCTGGTGCAGCTAGTGCTGGAAGTAGTAAAATTGAAGACAAAAAAGTTTTACAATACGTTCAGGCGATACATCACCATCATCATCACGAGGTTAAAAATTATCACGTGACAGCTGACAACGTTCAGATCGGAGGACGGAATAAATTGGTCTTGAAAAAGACGAGTGAAACGTACAGGTAAGGAGAGAGGGGGGGGATTTAGACTAGGTCATTGTGGGACTAACATATGGTTCATTTTTATTTCTATAAAATCGCTCGCGTGTAAGGTTTTTTTAGCAGTGAGAGGAAACTGGAGGACCCGAAGAAAATCCACAAGGTTGGACAGGCGACCTTACTCCTTGTCATGTACAAGCATGGAATTGAAACCACGCCAGTTGACTCAATGACAGACCTTATGATCCAACATGCATGGGTTAAACCGCTAGACCACCCCCACCCCACCCCCGGTAAGATTAGAAGATATGAAATGTGGTTTAATGTCTTACATTTCTGCACCGATGAATGTAGGCCATGAGGGATACTTTACCCAGAGAGCACATTTCTGTCGGTTCTTCATTGAATTCTAATTGTCAAGGGTTCTTTGATGGGCACCCGAACAAGTAATTGTCAGGCTTTTTGGTCTATCCGAACAATGAGAGAGAATCTGGGCCCTTATTCACGAAAACTTAAACTAAGTTACAACCAAAATTTTAAGAAATACTGCAACTTCATTGGATATATGCAAATTGATTTTACTGGTCAGCCAATCGTATTGCAGTATTTCTTAAAATTTCGATTGTATCTTAGTTTAAGTTTTCGTGAATAAGGGCCCAGGCTGGAAAATGTTAAGGAACTTACTAGGCCGATCGTTATGAAAGTATCAAATGATCAAACATCTCAGTACTAAACCTAACCTTCCTAAATCTACTGCCAACAGACGCACAATAGAACTCCATTAGATTATACGGAGGGCCTGACAAGGACAGCTGTCTAGTCCTTCGGATGAGACGAAAAACCGAGGTCCCGTGTATACATTGGAATGCACGTAAAAGATCCCTTGGCAGTTGGAATTCGATATAAGAGTAGGCGATAGTGCCGCTGCCCGGGCAAAATTTCCCTCATAGCATACTGTATGGCGTATGCCCGTCTTCATTAGCCCAGGTTAGGAGCAGAACAGTAGGACGTTAAACCCCATTTCATTTCATTTCCATTAGATTATAAGATACATTGTCCTGAAAATAGTTCTTGGGTGGTTATTTCCAATAAAAGTATGTCAAATTTGGTATATATGGAAAGTATAGACACCCAATCTTACTAGAAATATACTGGATTAACCATAAAAAAAAAACACCCATGGGGCAATGTCAGGGTATCACTAACTGGCAACCCGACTATTGTCTGCCAGCTTATTGTGTGCTAGCTTGACTCAGGGAGCGATTGTTATTGCTTGATCAAATGGTTAGGTGGTTTTGGGAAAATTGAGGACTGTCAATGTACAAAAGACTCTGCTATTAAACGGCGGAAAAAGTAGTTGACAGAAAATAATTAAGAATTTACTTTGGCCTCAATATGTATGATAATTGGACAGTAAGTTATGAAAAATACATTCTGAAAAATGGACTTTCCCTAAATGAATTGAGCTGACAGACATGGCATCCAACAACAGTTTATTTATAGTTTGCCGTATCTCCCAACGAATACAAAGTTTTGACAGGGATTTGAAGCAAATTTTTGATAGATTAATTAGTTTGAATATGTTTTAGTTCAAATATATTATCAAATCAAACGGTTTGTACACAGGAAGGCATTTTAAAAAACCTTTGAACTGCACGGTATCAATGACAAAATCTGAACCTGGGCATCCCCCATTTATTTTCTGTGTAATGAAAGTGTGTTAAAATGTATTGTTTATTTATTGTAGTGAAAATCAACAGTGTAGTGAGGAAATGGATGATGAAGAAGATGATAGAACAGAATATGAAGATGAGGGGGGAGAATATAAAAATGAAGGAAGAAAATATAAAAACCATCCACTAGAAACAGAAGATGATTTTACGCATGTTAAATCACTGAACGACCCTGATAATTCAGATTCCTAGACCTTTTACAATTTGTAAATATTATCTAGCAACCTTTTTTTATAAATCATTAATTAATTAATGTTAATTGATGTGTAAGCAATAGTGGTTCTATTTTAAGAATGCTTTAGAAGCTAAAATATTGTAAAATTACCGCAAAGGCAGAAACACCAGATATCTGGATGAAATTCATATCTTGCAATGCACACTAAACATTAAAGTAGCTAAATCAACATTCATGTTGTGATCTTACCGGAAAAAGATGGGCTTTTGATATCCAATATTTAAGACAAAATAAACATTTACCATTGGTACACGAATTGTGTACCATAATGCGCTTCAGCCCCAGTTGTATCAAGAGACTCGAGGGACGAGGCTAGACACATTGCACCAAATCAAAAGGCGTATGTAGACTGGAATAACCAGACACTAGAAATTTGCACTCGCTTGAGACTGCTGGCTTATTTCGCCAAACATGACTGATCTGAAATTGGAGTAAAAACCGAAACCATTGAATGTAAATCAGTTTATAGACATTCATATTACAGTATTATATGCGTTTCGACCCACTTTTGTCAATTTCTAGGTCCCAAATGTTAGCGATTTAGCTCCTTTAAAAATAAAATTTACGCTATATAAGGCTAAAAATGACCTACGCAGAGTTAATGAAACATTAAAGCCCATTACATTTTATTTACTTCATTGCAACACTTTAACGTTAAACTACCCATTCCCCCACCCTCCCCGTTAGATCTATTTGATTAGGCCAACTTCAAGTTTGGTCAAAGGTCACGAGATGTAAAGTAGAGCTAGCACTAATCCTAACCCTGGACCTAGCCCTAATGCTTACCCTAGCCCTAACCTACAATCTTGCCAACAATCACGTGCCCTAACCTTATTTACATCTCAGTGACCGTGATAAAAATTGAGCTGGCCTTAACAAATAGATTTAGCCCACCCCCACCCAGTCAAACGATGAAAAATTGAGCCTGCCTTAAAGTTACAATTTCATATTTTTAAGTTTTATTTTTAAAATGTATTAAAATAAAGCCCTAAGTGTGAGAAAGATAACCTATGATCATATAATAGTGAGTTGTCAACCTATTGAGCAAAAGACATAGAAATGAAATGAAATGAAATGGAGTTTAACGTCCTACTGTTCTGCTCCTAACCTGGGCTAATGAAGACGGGCCATTGCTGGATTGGCTTCTGATACTTGAGCTTTTGAGGGAGTTTGTCTATTCTTCCCATTCAATCAAATCTATCCCAAGTACAGTAACATGACAGCCCTTCGTTTAAACTGGGTCTTCCCTAAAACTTTGGACAGTGATTTAAGGTATTAAAAGCGGTGAAAGTATTGTTCATCTCCATACAGTATTGTTTACATTGTTTTTGATTTGATAGCCTCGTTTGCCACACAATAAGTTTTTCTGCAATATTCTGCTATGCACTGGTTAATTGGGTTTTAAAAAAATCGTGAGTCATGACGTAACGTCATGTAAATATATTTGGTCCAATTTGGAGCTCCGTTTTAAGCTTTTGTAACGCAGTTAGCTATTGGTTGTTAATCAGATCATTGACCAGTCATAATTTGGAACAGAAATTTGCTTCCTTTACAGCAGTGTTAAGTGGGATTAGGTATAATCAAATGAAACACTGCGAGGAGTATTTATAAAATAATGTACTGTTAGCATGTTGCATTATTATTTGAAACAATAGTTTACCTACATGAAAGGATGACGTCACATCTGCTGTCGGGTGTTCGATCCCTGCATAGGCCGAGAAAGTTCATCTGGATTTTCCGACGTGGTTTCCCCTTGTCAGTGATGCAGAACGGAGGGCCTGACAAGGACAGCTGTCTAGTCCTTCGGATGAGACGAAAAACCGAGGTCCCGTGAATACATTGGAATGCACGTAAAAGATCCCTTGGCAGTTGGAATTCGATATAAGAGTAGGCGATAGTGCCGCTGCCCGGGCATAATTTCCCTCATAGCACACTGTATGGCATATGCCTGTCTTCATTAGCCCAGTATAGGAGCAGAACAGTAGGACGTTAAACCCCATTTCATTTCATTTATTTAAAGCCTTTTAGGACTAGCCATATACCACCATATTTGGGGGGTTAGATGGCCGAATGGTTGGCACGAGTGCGCTGTATCACAAGGCCTGTCATTGAGTCAACTTGCATGGTTTCGAATCCTCGGTTGTTTGTGACAAGGAGTAGTGTCACCTGTCCAACCTCGTGGGTTTTCTCCAGGTCTTCCATTTTCCTCCCACTGCTAAAAACCCCTATGCTGAGCGAATTATTGAAATAAAATTAAACCATATGTTAGTCCCGAAATGATCTAGTCTGTGTCGAGTGGACGTTAAACTCCATTTCTCTCTCTCCACCATATTTTTAAAATTAGCGAAAAAAAAGACTCGGGTATTAGTAATGTATTGCTATAAAAGAGTCTGTATTTGAAACAATAATTTACCAACATCAAACGATGTGAAAGTACGTCAAACTATTAAATGCTGTTGACTTGTTGATAAAAGGTATAAATTCATCTTTTGTGATTTATTTCAAATTGTTCTTATCTTTGATGAAACATAATGCAAAACCTCACCTTATACTGAAAACCTTATAGTGAAAACCTTGTACTGAAAACCTCACCTCACCTTATTCTAAAAACCTCACCTTATACTACATGTAAAAGTGTAATTAATGCTTTGAGATTTTCGCTGGTAGGTAACAAAACCTCACCTTATTCTTAAAGTGTAATTAATGCTTTGAGATCTTCGCTGGTAGGTAGCAAAAATGATATTCAATATAACATGATTTTTTATACCCCAACACCATTAAATATTTTCATAATATTAAGTCATAAAATTTAGTTATGGGATATAAAAACGGGCTGGAGTTTATATGAATTTATCTCTCAATGTGCTATGATTTAACAGAGCATGTTCATTTTGTGTATTAGAATGTTTAAATTATAATATTAATCATATATATGAGAGAAATAGAGGTATAAAAATTTTAAAATAGTGATTGATGCCTCTCTAATTTTGTTATATATGGTACAGTGTAATATCGACACTATATTCAGATTGTTTTATGTGGTACCGTGTAATATTGACACTGTATTCAGTTTGTACGCGGGAATGTATCTTTAATAGTTATATTGCTTTGTTATCTACACTGGGAATTCACTAGTTATTGGCGTACATGTGTTATATCTGTGTTATGGAGTGTTCCCTGTATATTAGACTGTATAAAATGTCCATGGTATATAACCTGTATAATATATGTATTATAAGATCCATGATATAACACTGTATAATACATGTATTATAAGGTCGATGCTGTAACACTGTTGCCATGGTGCACAGCCTTATATATAGCAAACCTATCTTATTCTGAACTCCCAGTGTAAACTTGTTTAATTGTTTAAAAGTGCTCATTAAAGGGGTTTAACCTCTTTTGATTTGTAATGAAAAGTATTAATTTGATTAGGTCTTTTAGCTTGGTTTATCAAACTCTATCCTCCCACTGCTAAAGACCCCTATGCGCAAGGGAATTATTGAAATATAATTGAACCATATGTTGGTTTCAAAATCACTTAGTTTGTCTCAAGTGGACCTTAAACCCCATCTCTAACCCATCAGATCTAATCAAGTTTATACTTAATAAAGAGGTTCTGCCCCTTTTAAGCTTGTGATATTTTATGTATACATGTATATAAAAACCTCGAAGGTTTGAGATGACAAGATTGTTTAATTTCTTTTGGTAGAATTTTTATCTCAAAATTTACGGACTTCTTAAGGTCACAGTAAAGCTTGTCAGTTGGAATAACTGCTGTCATTCATCATCGTTAAATTCTGGGCCCTGTTTCACGAAATTTTAACGAAAGATAAAATCCAAATTTTAGTAGATACTTCAATTTTGATTGACTAAGCACTAAAATCACTAAGCACTAAAATCAATCTAATATTATCCAATCAAATTACTAAAATTTGGATTTTATCTTAGTTAAAATTTCCTGAAACAGGCCCCTGGTTATGATTTGTGATTGGTTGTAACACCGATTCTATATATATCTATGTTCGAAAAAAGCAGGGAACTATTAAAATGGGTCTGTCTGTCCGTCTGTCTGTCTGTCCGTAACACTTTTTGGGATACAAGAACTCTCCTTCTAATTGACGTAGAATGTTCAAACTTGGTGTAAGTGTTTTTTAGGTGAATGCCTTGATGGGGTGCGAAGATGATCATTTTCTGCATCGGGTAAGCCGAGATGAGCAATTTCATTGGTTGCTGCTTTGGGACACAATAACCTTAGTTCTAATTAAGTGAGAGTAATGGAACTTCGAGTATAGATTCATTAAATCATTACCTTGATTAAGTTCGATGATGAGAATTTTCTGCTAAGGCTAAGTAGCGATAAGCAATTTGATTGGTAAAGACTTTGGAACATAACGCTGCTTTTAATTGAGGTAGAATGTAAATGTTCATTAGGTGAATGTCTTGACAAAGTTCAATGATTAACATGTCACACTAAAGCTAAGCAGAGCTAAGCAATTTCTTTGGTCGATGCTTTGGGACAAGATAACTTTGATTCTAACTGATGGATAGTGATGACACTTAAGCGGCGTTTACACGATACAATCAATCCATACAACCGTCGGATGCAACATATTTGAGGACCTTTTACACGATACAATGGTTCTATTCGTTGTATGGCAACATTTATTCCTTCTTAGTAACTGAATAAAATGGCAATAAGACGACACTTCTCATCCCCGTCTTCGTGTAGTGTTGATGCCGCGGGTTCAACAAAGACCTTGCTTTCTATACAGAGTTATTAGATTTTCAAATTTAGTCCAGGATAGATTTAGATCAATTTTAGAGGACTTCAAAGTACTCGAAGCGACAGAAGAAGACATCTTTAATCAGGAATTCTGGTTGCCAAGTTAGATATGATGTCATACGGCGTATGACGTTGTCTAATATAACGTACTTTGATTGGCTATTGCATGAGTTGGTCGGATGAGAATAGAACTGATCCTATCCATGCAATAAGCCGTCCATCCGACCATTTGTCTGATCAGTTGGTCGGATGCGACGGTTGTATGGATTGATTGTATCGTGTAAACGCCGCTTTAGTGTATAGTTTTATGCTTAGACTAAGTAAAGATAATCAGCTTGTGTGTTTAATACCTTTGAAAAAGATAAATGTGCAATTAATCACTATGTGTCATCCATTTATTTTGGGATTTCGGAGGGGGACATCAGCCTCACTGTTGGCTTGTTATTTGCTGTAACGCTGATTACATATATAGCTGTTCATGTTATGGTTATGATTTGCTGTAACACTGATTACATATATAGCTGTCCTTGTTATGATTTATGACTGACTGTAACACTGATTACATATATAGCTATTCATGTTATGATTTGTGTAAATTATTTGAAGCTTTGGTTAATCCACTTAATTATTTTGCTTGTATTATTCTGGATTATATACATTTCACCTTCTAATATAATTCAAAACTGTCACGGTATGTGTTAGCAAGGTGGGTGATATGGTGGTTTAACAACTGATGGGTCATTTCACCTTCTAATATAATTCAACACTGTCAAGGTATTGGCTAGCAAGGTGGGTGATATGGTTGGTTTTTGATGGGTCATTTTGCTTAACCTGAATAATGGTTAATATTTCATGTTTTGACAACTGATATGTATATCGTATATTGAACAAATGTCACCCGTTTTATTGAAGGTATGATGTGTTTAGTCATTGAGTCAACTGGCGTGGTTTCGATTCCCTGGTTGTACGTGACACGGAGTAGTATCGCCTGTCCAACCTCATGGTTTTTTTCCGGGTCCTCGGGTTTCCTCCCACTGCTAAAGACCCCAACGCAAATTATTGTAAAAAAATTGAACCATCTGTTAGTCCCAAAATTACCTACTTTGTGCGGGTGGACATTTAACTCCATTTCTCTCATTAGCCCGCTTCGTGCAGAAACATTTTCATTAGACCCCTTGGGGTTGGATGGTTTGAATCAAGTGGCGTGATTTCGGTTCCCTGCTTGAATGTGACAAGGAGCAGGGTTGCCTCTCCAACCTCATGAGTTATCTTTCTTGTCGTCATTAGTCCGCTTGGTGCAGAAATTATTTGTTGAATTACATTATTCTTTTCTTGTTCTATAACCTACACAATTGGTACATACCTAAAAAAAAAAATCATAATATAGCATACTGATTATGGGCTTAAAATGTTGCTATTCGTTAATGAAAATTTATGTTTATAAATGTTGAATGTGGTGACGTGAAGAAGCTGATTCGCAAGAGAGATGGTAGTGAAGAACCAGTATATTTTGCCTCTATTGAACATAGCTTTGACATCATCCAGAAAACCCACATTGCAACAGGTCATGATGGAAGGGATAAAATGATGAAAGAACTCAGCAAGAAGTATGCCAACATCACCCAAGAAGCTGTGACTATCTTCAAATCTTCCTGCGTTCCCTGTCAACAGAAGAAAAAGAGAACCAAAACCAAAGGTGTTGTTGTGAAGCCCATCACCTCCACAGATTTTGGAGCCAGAGCCCAAGTTGACCTGATAGATATGCAATCGATGTGTCACGGACAGTACAAATGGATTATGCATTATCAAGATCATCTCACCAAGTTTTCTGTTCTCAGAGCGCTGACATCTAAACGTTCAGTCGAAGTTGCATTTCAGTTGTTAGACATATTTTTGATGCTAGGCGCTCCATCTATCCTCCAAAGTGACAATGGGTCAGAATTCACTGCTCAGATTATTGTTGAACTGAAACAGCTATGGCCACGTCTTGTCATTGTTCATGGCAAGCCCAGACATCCACAGTCTCAAGGTTCTGTAGAGAGAGCCAACTGCGATGTAAAGGATATGCTCACTGCCTGGTTATCCGACAACAACACAACTGAATGGACTGTTGGTTTGAAATTTGTCCAGTTTCAGAAGAACTCAAGTTATCATAGCGGTATCAAGAGAACTCCCTTTGCTGCTCTTCTCGGTTCCGATGCAAAGGTCGGCCTTACAACATCCAGTCTTCCAGCAGAGATCATATCCAGACTCCAAACTGAAGAAGATCTGCTCAACATCATCTCCCCAGCTCCAACAACAGAACCAGACACATAACCAGCACCAACTCCAACAACAGAACCAGACACAGAACCAGCACCAACTCAAGATGTCATTGAAACCCGACAAGAAGAAATTCAGACCCAGAGGAAGCGTGCTGCAGAATCCCAGTTGCAACAAGCTGAGAAGATGGTGAAAAGAAGTAAAGTTGTGCTGTCAGAAGTGAAAGTTGGTGACAATGTAACAATCTCAATTCCCGCAGTAGATAGAGGTAGAGCTGATCCTCGCAATTTGATTGGTGTTGTGACTGACATTAGTGACACTGACATGTACACTATTGCTGTGAAAGCTGGAATCCTGAGTGGGAAGTATTCCCGCAACCAGTTTGACGTGTGTGCCACAGCGCTGTACAATCTGACCGACATGTCTACCGACTGTACTGTGTCTCTGAGATCAGCTGTTCAGTCTGAATCGATATGTAATGGACAGGGATTTGCCAAATGTAACTGTGCTGGGACAAAAAGATGTCAAACAAATAAATGCAAGTGCTACAAGTCTGGTGTCAAGTGTAATTCAAGGTGTCACCCCTCACTCTCCTGTAAAAACAAAAGTTAGTCTGATATCCATGTCAGAAGTTTCATGCGATACATGCATATGGCATTTTGTACAATTTATACCCTGTGTTGATGACAAATATCTGAAACAACTGTGTCTAGTTATTTCATGATGTTATAAATTAGTTTGATGAAAACATCAGAAATGTCATGAGATGTTTCTTTTGGTACAACTGATGAATACATATTTGAGACAACTGTGTACACTGACATGTGTCATGTGTGACATGTCGTTTAGGGTTGGAATGTAATAAAGAAAACAACTGTAAACTGTGTTGGTATCTCATTTATAAGCATTCAGGGAATATGTATTATATTTGCTGACCTTTATCAGGGTATATGTATAATCCCTGAAAATTTCAGGGAATATACATACTCACTGAGTGAATCAGGGAATATACATAATCACTGAAATTTTCAGGGATTATACATATTCCCTGATTATACATATTAACTGTAACATATATATATTGTTGAGATTTCTTGATTACATGTTTCATGTATATGTTTATTAACGAAGATCATGTTGATTTCATGTTCCATATGGTTGATTACATGTTGATGACATGTGCTATGTGTTTATATAACATGTTGATGTGCTATGTGTTTATATAACATGTTGATGACGTGCTAGGTGTTTATATAACATGTTGATGCTATGTGTTGATATAACCTGTTGATTACATGTGCTATGTGTTTATATAACATGTTGATTTCATGTTCTATATGCTTGATTACATGTTGATGACATGTGTTTATATAACATGTTGATGACATGTTCCACGTGTTTGTTTATCAAACAAACATGCTAATATAATAACTACCCGGTGATACAAACTAATACATAACTATCTGGTGATACATAGTAGAATATAATATATAATTAAATATAAATTATTGTATATAAATCGTAATAAAAAGATATAAATATATATCGCCACTCAGCAAAGTGCTCGTTTGTGATGTTTTACGTCTGCTTCCACTATGGGTGATATCGCAGACAAGCGATAAATGCTACTCAAGGATTATATTTATTATCTCATACTATTACGGCTGGAAAATACTGTGTTCCAAGTGTCAAAATAGCCTATATATACAATGCAAGTGTTCTGTTCAGATTTAAACACTAACAAGAACAGTTGTCCAGTCGTTTGGGTGGAACAAAAAACGAGGTCCCGTGTATACAGTGGAGTGCCTGTTGCCCACAGTGGTTTGGTGATCGTGTAGTCTAATGTATGTACTTCATACAAGGAGTAGTATCGCTTGCTCAACCTCATGGTATTTCCCCAGGTCCTTTGATTTCCTACCACTGCTGAAGACCTCCATGTGTGCGCGCTGTATCATACAGTCTGTCATTCAGTCGACTGGCGTTTTTTCGAATCCCCGGTTGTACGTGGCAAGGAGTAGGGTCGCCTGTCCAACCTCGTGGGTTTTCTCCGGGTCCTCCCACTGCTAAAGACCCCTACGCGCAAGCGAATTATGTAAATAAAATTAAACCATATGTTAGTCCCGAAATGACCTAGTTTGTGTCGAGTGGAGGTTAAACCCCATTTCTCTCTCTCTCTCTAGACCTCCATGTGAATGCGAAATATTGGAATGAAATTTCTTCCATATGTTAGTCCCGATATGATCTCTCTCTCTCTCTCTCTCTCTCTCTCTTGAAAGGTGCTCTGTTTAATATATTGAAGTGGTTAAACAAATGGATGACAACGAGAAATGAGCTAAGTAGGTATTTTGCAAGATTCAACTTTCTTAGACTAACTCACAGACAGTTCCTGCCATCATCAATGGCTAAAAGTGGGGTAATATCGTCCAGTTGCACAGATTAGTACAATTGAATAGAGTAATGTTGACGTAAAATGGTGCCCATACGAAACGAAACAAACTGTACTTTCTATATAGAAAGAGCGAGGTTTAATTTTTAAGTTATATTTTTAAATACCACTCTTGTTCTAACTGAATAATATGTCCCAATCTTTATTCTGGTCAACAAATTGTACTATTTTACAATATTCCAATTAATTGATGATACAAATTTCATCTTAACACACCTAATTAAAAAAATTGAAAAAATTCAATTAAATGATTTGAAAAGCCTGACGTAAAGCTTTTCAAATGTGACTTGGATTTAAAAATATTTTTGAACCCTCTGGACAAGTAAAATAGGATTTAATGGATAATTTACACAACAGGTAGGACACTCACACATCTAGTACTTAGAATAAGGCTATTATTTATTTTCTGGAGCTGTCAAGCCAGCAAGAGTGTTATTGTCCCTTTAAAATGTATGAAAATAAAGCCTTAAAATAGATGGTATCTATAAACAGTCCTACCTGTTAAAGAATAATCCTATTAATCCTATAATTGACTATTGCCAGTTGAGAAATTGGCAAAAAAATCATTTTCAACTTCAAATTCAAACGTTTGAAGATAGCTATTCCATGGGGGGGGGGGGGTAGGAAAACAAGGGAGGTAATTGTTTTATTATTTCCGGTGTCAATCAATTTTAAGTGTGGGAAATAATGCCTATGATCTTATAATAGTGAGTTGACAACCTATTGAGCAAAAGACAAAGAAATAATTAGGTTTTGACTTTCTTAGAAAATATGAAATTCTCGCTTTAAGCCATCATTTGGAGATCCCAGGGAAGACATCATTCGGATTTCCTAGGGGAACATCATACCCACAGCTTCCTCGTCTTAGAGGCGGAATGGCTCTCACCACAGACACGCGCTAAGTGATAGAGAACTTATATTTAGCTTATATTTAATGTCATAGCTTTGTGTGTAGTTTCCTGTATGTGACCTTTGCATTATGAATGTTATACAGATATAAAAACATAGTTAACCAACAAAGTGTTCCAGAGTCAATTGATCCTTGAAGTTTTATACACAACGTGAAGTCAAAGTTAGTTCCTAATTGACTGTAGTTTCACAGTCATCTCATTTTAGACGAAGAATAATGTCACTGGCTGTTTTCTGGGGACCACTGGAAGGTAAGTGTCACAGGCATCCCCCTCTCTCTCTCTGAGTGTCACAGGCATTACCCCCCCCCCTCCTTTCTCCCTCCCTCACTCTCTCTCTCTGTGAAAAAGTCAGATCTAGGTGTTAAACAGTTGGAAACGGCGTCAAGTAATCACCAACGATGCCTTGATGCATGGAAAACAGTGGCAGAGCAAGCTCAGTAATGCATCACTTAAGACCACAAGTCAATGAACTCCCGATATCTATTCCAGGGCTTCCACATTAAAATTGGTGGGGGTTTATGGCTGAATGATTAGCACGTGAATCATAAGGTCTGCCATTGAGTCAACTGACGTGGTTTCGATTCCCCGGTTGTACGTGACAAGAGGTAGGGTCGCCTGTCCAACCTCGTGGGTTTTCTCCGAGTACTCTAGTTTCCTCCCACTGCCAAAGACCCTACGCGCAGGCGAATTATTGAAATAAAATTGAACCATGTGTTGGTCCCGAAATGACCAAGTTTGTGTCGACTGGACGTTAAACCCCATCTCTCTCGACCAATGCAGAAATCGAACACGTGACCTCCATGCTAGTGAGCCAGTGTCCTACCCACTTAGCCACCGTGGCTCCTATAACATAAATGATAGTTCTAAGGTAAACAGTAGTTACAATAACTGATGGCAAGTAATGCACAATGAACATCACGTAATGCACAACGAACATCGCGTAATGCACAACGAACATCACGTAATGCACAACGAACACTACGTAATGCAACCACGAACATCACGTAATGCACAACGAACATCACGTAATGCGCAACGAACGTCACGTAATGCACAACGAACATCACGTAATGCACAACGAACATCACGTAATGCACAACGGACATCAAGTAATGCACAACGAACATCGCGTAATGCACAACGAACATCACGTAATGCACAATGAACATCACGTAATGCATAACGAACATCACGTAATGCACAACGAACATCACGTAATTGTAAAACCCCATCACATACTGATAGATGCACACCACGTAATGGAATATGCACAGCACGTAATGGAATATGCACAGCATGTAATGGAATGTGCACACCACGTAATGGAATATGCACAGCATGTAATGGAATGTGCACACCACGTAATGGAATATGCACAACACGTAATGGTATATGCACACCAAGTAATTGAATATGCACACCCCGTAATGGAATGTGAACACCACGTAATGGAATGTGAACACCACGTAATGGATGTGCACACCACGTAATAGAATATGCACACCACGTAAAACCACCATATACACGTAAAGAAATAACTACAGCACGTACAGACTAAGAACCATGTTAATGTGGTAGCATATTCCTGAAGCAATGGCCCGAGAAATCCCTCTCTATTCGAATTAGGTCTAATCAAATGAAACACTGCGAAGAGTATGACGTGATAGAGGTTTTCAAAACTAAAGTGAAACATTCGGTTAGTTATAGGACGAATCCTATAGACATCCAGCGATCCAAAGCCCTACAGGAGAGGATAACCACTGTTATTTTTCACAATTCGGATAAGCTGCTGTCCACTCGACACAAACTAGGTCATTTCGGGACTAACGTATGGTTAGATTTTTTTTCAATAATTTGCTTGGGCGTAGGTGTCTTCAGCATTGAGAGAAAACCAGGAGAAAACTTAGTGTGCTATAAGGGAAATTTTGCCCGGACAGCGGCGCTGTGGCCTACTCTTATATCGAATTCCAACTGTCAAACGACTAGAAAGCTGCCCTTGCCAGGCGTTGCGTCCTGCATCAATGACAAGGGGGAATCACGTCGAAAAATCTGTATGAACTTTCTCGGCCAATGCAAGGATCGAACACCCGACCTCCAGGCTAGCGAGCTAGCGTCTTACCCACTTAGCCACCGTGACCCCCGCTTTATGGATAACATTCACTAGATTTATTAACTGCAACGTTTCAATGAGGACACTCTCACCGTTATCAAGCAATGTTATCCATAAAGCTGTCTGTTATTAATATCGCTTACACTAAATGCCTTTAAACAAATCCTCAAATAATAAAAAAGTCTAGAAGAATGGAAATCCGATTTATTTACAATTTTGATGAAATAAAAAAATTCAAATAACTTCATTATGACATATGCAATAATGTTTCTGTGAAGAAAAAAAAATGCGTTTGCATATTATGGCTACCACTGTTCACCCAAAAATAAACCAGATCAGAGCCAAAATACCGGAAAAGATGCTGAAAGTAGTATCGAGAAGCAAAATGCAATGCCAGTTCAAACAAAATGTGCAATTAATGTCCCCACAAAACGATGCAGCTAAATCACGGCGATATTTTGAAACCAAGGTTTCTGCCAGAACACACATCATTACACTACAGGCCTACGTCTTTAATTTTCAGAGAATTCTGTCGATTAAACAGATTAATGAAAAACAGTTTTATCTTGAAGTTCACAAATATTCACATTCTTCAAATTCTGCAGTTGTTTCAAATGGCGCTGAACTGTCCAAGTCAATCACGCCGGAATCACGATTTTTCCTCTTCGTACTTTCTGAATAAATGACTTCGGTTTCCTCATTGCTGCCAACATCCAGTTCCTTCAATTTATCTCTACCATCTTCCGAAACGGAACCGTCTGTCGCTCGGTAGCTTGTCGGACTAAGCGGAGTTTCCGGATCCTCGTCTCCTTTATACGACAAATTTGATCGCAGCTTCACGCGAGGAATGCCGAAACTAAGGAAGGACTCGGCATCGAGATGGAAGCCATCTTCGCCATGGACATAATCATGAACAGCTCTTGAGAGCGCGAACTCCGACACACCTCGACCAATTCCAAAACGAGGCTCTGTTAAGGATTTTATAATCCTCGTGTGGGGCTTGATGTGTTTCTTGGAATTCGGGTAGCTGAAGATACGATGACGTTCTTCGATCAAGTCCACCATGTCACTGTTTA